ATTATCAATTAATCATTAGCCATTATTAATTAGCAATAACGCATTCATAACTCAGTTTAAACTTTATAACGCTATTATGAAATAAAAAAGAATTTTGTCCGGTGGACTGAGGATGATCGACCGAAACTGAGTTTGTATGGGTAAACAGTCCACCCCTAGGCCATTACGGACACCCTCGGGACCGTAATTTAGCGTCCGTAGTAGCGAGAGTCTGTACTTACGAGAGTTACTTTCAGGTATTTCGTTGTATTTTTCTCCGCCGGGGATTCAGTATTTCGTGTCCGAAATATCGAGGTATCGGTTATATCGGTAGCCGTACTTTAGCATCGAAGCAAGACGACCGTTGAGCATGCAATGATAGAAACCTTCTTTCACACCTACAGACAATTACTCACAGGTATCTATCATTGCACGCTCAACGGTTGTCTCGCTTCCATGTAAAGGCACGGCTACCTTTCAAGATGGCGCAGGGAACCGTGAAGGAGACTATGATGCCATTTTAAATTGATTTGGAGAAAAATCTATCGATGAAATTATAGATCTATTGGTCAAGTATACTCTACTATTTCACAATTATTTCACTTACTTTATTAAAATCATTTAAGTCGTACCACGTGTAGCCATCGCCCCCAAATTGAAGCTCTCCAACTGGCAACGTCACGTGACCAATCACGTGTTCATTAGAAAACGAGTCCAGCTCGAGTAAACGGACAGAGACCTGGAGCGAGTCTTTTGGTTGGCCATTCAAAGCGAATAGCACCTCCTCGTTCCAGTGAGGGTCAAATGTCATTGGTTGCTTTTCAATCTTTCGCTCGTCACGCAATATATTCTCCAAGTCATACAGTTGTACTACTGGGAATATCTGTAGAAAATGCAGATGAGGCTTGAGTATCATTAGTGCACACAGAGAGCATGGTAAGAATATAGAATAGGACAAAAAATCTTTGTGACGTCAGGATCCTCTCGACTTGCCAAAATGCATCATGGATGTTCCAACAACAAAGATGGCGGACGATTGGAAAAATTATAGGGCGAAGTTTTGTGCGAAATTAGTTGTTGTCGGGGAGAATGTGGTGGAGTTTCCTTTGAGAATACTCAATGCAGAGCATGCCAATCTGTCAATGCGTAATGCTAATTTGAAAATATAACTCAACATTGCCAGCTCAGTTGGTTGCTTACGGAATTTCTCAGGAATTTCTTAGAAAAAACTGAATCGAATAGTTGAGTTTCGCGATCTCTTACACTGTGTTAGCCTCAAAATATGTCTAAAAATATACGCAATAAAATATGTATAAAATATTGCAGAAATCATTAGAGAAAACTCGTGAAATTTTAAACTATATGAGTTTATTGAAAAAAACGAAATGTAAGTAGAGGTTTTCCAGAAACGACACAAGTTTAGAGTTGAAATGACATAGTGAGTTGCTAACATCTTTCCCAGTAGAGAGCGCCTTTACATATAGCTATTTCAAAAAAGGTTGTCGAGTAAAATGTCGAATGCCAATTGTTGAAAATTGAATTTTTGAAATAGGTGTATAAGCACAGGAGTGCAAAAATGTTATTGTAAAAATGTTATTCACCTGTGAAGTCTGCARGCTTGTTTTACTRATAATTCCCTTCGCCTGWACAAGTCCCACTATCAGTACATCGTCTTCTATGTTATAATCAACTTCCATTTGGATCTTCCCAAGATCCCCTGGTGTCTCGATGATATACGGCTCCTCGCTCCCCGCACTCTCCGCTTCAGAAGCGTTCTCGTATGATTGATATGTGAACTCCGTTGGCCATTTTGYCCGGGGGGAGATGGAGTACGTTTGGTAATCCTTAGGGGGAGGGTACCGGTGACGTCTTTGTCGACACCATACCCAGAAGCACTTGCAAAGTACCAAGGTGAAGGCGGTTGCTAAGGCACTTGCYACGCCTACTATCACTATGACAGCAACATATGTTCTCGCCACTGTTGATAGATTAAATCAACAATTGATGRTGTCAATGTTTWGACCAATYACATTGCGCAAGATTGTCACGTGTTAATAAAATGCCGAGATGAGATTTTATTGGCTGATTCGAGATCAAAAGTAAGGTGTCGGCCTTKYTTMTGTTTWKAGCATTAGCAACGTGGCCACCGAGTGACGTCAGTTTAAMCAACCAAGGAACATACTTATTGACATTAAAAGAAGATTATCGACTGTTTTTCGCTTTTTTAGTACATGAAGTATRTMCACTTAAAAAGAAAAACAYTTCAATTTTCCTWAAATAGCGCTTTAAAAGYATCAGCAGTCAAGCTGGCTTGTCTCGCAGGCTTTTCTKGGAATAACACATCTGTTAAGCAAAAGTGTTGCTTAAAATAAATCGTTTTACTTTGCTAAGCCGTCTGACCGAAAAAGGCGATGTCAGAAAGACGGTAATTGAGSTTCTAAACCGKGTTCCGCTGTGACGGCTAACAATTTSAATTTAAAAGGTWYTTGGGCTGATTTAAATCATAAGGTCGCGTTTTTAATTGAGTTAGGTCTCCTTCYAATGAGCTGAAAATTTTCACTTTTAAGCTTGTTATCTAGCGCATAAATATCAGCACAAAATTAATGAAAACATAAAGGACTTATAAGTAAAGAGTAGTGATTATATTCGACATTGGCATAAACGCAAGCGTAATGACAGAGACAGGAACAAGCACAGAAAATGACTGAAAAATATAACATCTTTGTTTACCTCAAGCGAAAAATCTATATTGTGAACCTAAGCGTAATATACAGCTATTTCATAAAACGTTTTCGGGGAGAACGGCGAAGAACGGCAACTGTCGAAGGGAGATTGCACGACCGAAAGGGACTGTGGTTACACTGTTTTGAAAAACAAAATTTCACTTATTGGATTCACTTTACGTAGAAATGGAGACTAAATGGACTCAGTGTTTACCACAGACCATCTTACAGTATAAATCAGTTGTTATTGCCTTTCAACTAGCAAAACCCATGGTTACTTTCGGTCGTGCAATCGCTGTTCGACCATTGACATTCGCCATTTTATCCGACAACCTTATTTTGAAATAGCTATATACACCCTTTTAAGTAATGCCCCGAGTAAGAACTAGGGAAGCAAACGGCACAGGAATGCAAGAAGGTGCTAATTGCGCATTGAATAATCCATCCATCCCATTGGTTAAAACATGAAAATCTGCTATAATTTCACAAGTTAGCGAATTTTCTAATATAGTTTATTTAATGTCTGTTTTCGCTTTCATGAAAGCTTTCTTTAGCTTTAATATTAAAGCAATTCTATGTGGGGAACATTGCAAATTAGAAGCATCTTTTGGCTATTGTTTTGAGTGCTTATGATATGGATAAGAGCTTTTAATACAAAAGAAACTTTGTTTCAAAATAGAGTTTATCCACATTTTATTTCAAAAATGTGTTACCCACAGATGGATACATAATCAGTGTGAAAAC